CGTCCGCACAGCTCGAGACACACGAGACGACCCCTTATAACCCTAACCTTTTTTTTTTACGTGGTGTAAAAATCTTCTGAAGACCCCCTGCGCCTGCAAGCAGGGGAGTGTGGGATTCGCTTGCCCAGATGACAAGGGCTAAGCGCCTACCCACTAAAACATCACCACGGAAGAACAACGACCCGATCTCATATGAAGGTGACCCCGGAACCGCTAGAAAGCACTACTTCAGGGCCACCCTCGGGGATCATGAGCGAGAAGCGCTCACAGCAAGGCAGGCTCAATAAGAATTGAACCAAGGTTCATCTATCCTAGATATTCAAGGAAGAAAGGAGAAAGGAAAGAAAAAGATTTCCTTATTACTCCTCGTCCGTCTCTCCCAGGTCAGCTAGCCCCGCTAGCCTAACCTCCTCTTTAGCCGCCTGGGCCTTTCGCGCCCGTTTGGCTTCCTCCTTTCTGAGCATAATGGTCTCACAGAACTCTCGTAGTGCCGTCCATTTGGCTGGCGATTCCAGAATAGCAAATATGACTGATCTTAGGTCTAATTCGGGCCCTATAACTCTTACCAGATTGTCCCTGTCGGGGGTCCATGCGGGACATTCGCTGAGGGTATGGATATTTGAATCCTTCCTACCATCGCAAAAGGAGCAAGCGCTGCTCGGAGCCTTACCAATACGACACAGGAATGAGTTAAAGCACCCATGTCCTGTGATAACTTGGGTCATTCTGTACGTTAGCTGACCATGCTTCCGCTTATACCATCTGTTTAGGTGTGGGGTTATTGCCTCCCTGACTGCTATGGCCGTAGTGCCGGGTGTCCTATAGACCTCTTCCCACCTAAGCAGGGCCGAGTCTAATGCTCTCTCTCTTATGCGGTCGCGAATACAATGCGTCATCGGAATTTCTTGCCTCTGTATTTCCCGCGTTTCTACATAGATGTTACTCAACCTTTCCGCCGCAAAATCGACCGGCATAACCCTAGACAACAGGAATGCCGCCGGATAGGAGATAGTGCGGTAACCCGCTATTACCTTAAGCGCCACCTTGCGTTGCAGAGCTCTTATATCGTTGGCCACTTTTCGGTCGGCATTGAGGGTGGACGCCCAGACCGGAACTCCATAAAAGATGACGGAATGTATAACGGCGCAGTATACCCGTCTGACCAGCTCGCAGGGACCCCTCAGATTCGGCATTATCCTTGCCAGTGCGAACGACATTCTCTCGGCCCTCGGCAACACTTGTGTAAAGTGTTCACGGAACGTCCACTTGCGTCCCAGTACAAGGCCCAGGTATTTTAACGAGAAGCCAAGCGGAACAAGCACGCCTTTCACAAGTACCGTGTTGTCGTGTACAAATCTATGTGCCTTGGTAAATGCACACGCCTCCGTTTTTTCTGGGGAAATCCTAAGTCCTAAGCCCTCAATACGCATGGCTATAAGTGCCACGGCCATCTCGACACGGGCACGGGCGATGTTCAAATTCTCCCCCAGAGCGACCACTAGCGTGTCGTCCGCGTAGCATATTACGTGGCAGTTGGCAGGCAGGTCTTCGTGTAACACTCGGTCATACGCCAGGTTCCAGCTTTTTGGCCCATACGCTGAGCCCTGTGGCACCCCGCACGACATAGGCATCCTTTTCTTGCGTCCCTTGGAGTCGATCCACGTGACCCATCTACTGGACAGGTAATCGCCCGTAATCACTCTCAGGTAATTGGGTACCTCTTTCTCCACCAGGGCCTGCCTTATGCTTTCCCAAGGCAGGGAGTTAAACGCATTGGAGATGTCTAATGACACCGCAATGGCATGTTGTTTCTCGTCCCCGTATACAGGCTCCAGGATTTCCCTAAGTCGCAATATAGCGTCCACCGTTGATCTTTTTTCTCTAAAGCCGTACTGTCCATCCGAAATCCCGACGCCCTCGCGCAGACTAACCCGAATTCTCTTCACCAGGATTCTTTCCAGCATCTTCCCGAGTTCACTGAGAAGACAGATCGGTCGATAGGATGATGGTGCCCCGTCTGGCTTCCCTGGTTTCTTTAATAACACCAGTTTGGCTACTTTCCAGCAAATAGGGAAAATTCCTTCTCGGAGACAAGCAGTGAAACATTGCTTCAGAGGTCCCCTAATCTCAGTGAATGCCTCTTTAACAACCCCCCCCCATGACTCCGTCAGGGCCGGGGGCCTTACCAGCGTACTTTATTTTGCCAAGAGCCCACTCGATCTTTGCATCAGACACCGAGAAATCTTCGTCCCATTGGACCGGCTCCCTGTCTCTAGGTTGCAGCTCTTCATTGACACTGGGGAATAGTCCCTCTATCACGCGGGCCAACGTCTCCGGTGGGAGCGTCTCGCAGGTCGGTTTATCCTGTGGTCGCAACTTGCCCAAGACAAGTTTGTACGGACGGCCCCACGGGTCCCGGTCTATTGTCCTCAGGAGGTCCTTCCACGCATTGCTCTTAGAATCACGAATCGCCCCTCTCAGTTCCTTTCGTTTCCGTGCTAATTCCGCCTCCAATTCGAGAACCGCGGCACGTCTTCTTCTGCGACCCCTGGTAACTTTTCTCCTTAGAACGATACACTCCCTTCTCAGGGCAGCTATTGATTCGTTCCACCAGTAGATTGCTTTCCGCCCACGGGCCCTGTGTCGTGTCATGGAAAAGTCAGCCGCTTCCTTGAGTGCATTTTGTAGTCGCCTGTGACTCTGCACCTTCGTTTTCCTTTACTCCTGGCCAGTAGGATACTGCTAAACTTGCCCTTAACATATCCGGTCTGAGGCTCTTTAGGTTCCACTTAGGGAAGCCATACACAGAGCGTTCCACCTGTGTATTCCTCTTGCCGTGTAGCTGTAGAAAGATGAGCCTGTGGTCCGACAACGATTCTTCGTCTACCGCGAGTTCCCACGATCTAATTGTGGGTATTACGGCCGGTGAGACCCAAGTCAGGTCGATCACCGAGGTACCCTGCGGTCTCACACATGTGGGGTCGGACCCCTCGTTAACCAGTCTCAGGTCTAGTGCCGCCGTCCATGTAACCAGCACGTCACCCCTCACCGTAGGATGCGTGTCCTCCCATAAGTGGGATCTGGCGTTAAAGTCGCCCATTATGATTAATGGGCCTCTTATATGATCAACAATAGCATCGCTGACTGACTTCAGAAACGCCCGAAACTCGTTGATCCCTCTGTTGGGGGAAAAATAGCACGACACAATGACCGTTCCGCTCCACCTCACCGCCACAAAGCCTCTACCTTGGCTCAGCACACTCACCGCACTTGGTGCGATCATACCTTGCCATGTGATGGCCGCCATAGGTGGGTCCTCCGTGGATCGCGCCCACCTCGGATCAACAGGAACAACATGCGGCTCCTGTATGCACGCCAGGCCGCACCCCCTCTCGTGCATTATTTGCATAAGGAGGTTTTGCGACCCCGACGACCTATTCGTGTTTATTTGCACTATCGTGGTTATGCTTCTACGTCAGGCGCGGCCGCACTACTCCGATCGACCGGGATTCTTTGCGGCATCGGGTTTTGGCTACCACCCCTGAGGTTCCTCGGTGGGCACGGAGGGCATGCCTCTGATCCTGCCCTATGATCGTGCCTGCGTCCTTGCTCTTTGCAGATAGGGCATTCGGGGGGCCTCCCGCAGTTTCTGGCTATGTGCCCATCCGCCCCACAGTTAAAGCAACTGGCCGAGCGATCAACTTCACTTGGGCACCTTTCTCTAACGTGGCCCGACGCCATACACCTGAAGCACTGTACGGGGCGCTTCTTCAGCAGGACCACTCTAGCTGTGGACCAGCCAACTCGGAGCTTCCCCTCCTGTGCCAACTGCATGGCCGCATTCAGTGGGCACTGGGTCCACACCGTGCGTGCGCCATTTCTGGTGATCCTGTACTGCCCCAGTCGAATATCGGTCATCGCACAGCCACCAGTATTAGCCATTGCTACCTTCAGTTCTTCCGGGCTGATCGATGCGTCCAGGCCTGAGAGACGCAATTCTCCCTTAGAGACGGTCTGGCAACCCGTACTTCCGAGCCCTTAAAGGCCTCCCTAAGCTTATCAGCCAATAGGTCCGCCTTAGGGGACATGTCTTTTCCTGGTAATTCCACCAGAACCGCTCCCGCCATCGTAGTCCTAAGCCTCGTATGTTCTATACCGAGCTCGTCAAGTCTCACGCTGTTCCAAGCCTTCTTAACTACTTCCGCGAATTTCATCCCCTCAGGGAGTGACATCGCGACAGCGGCGGATCGCGGGACACGTCTCCTTCCGACTTCAGCGTTTTCCCTCGGTGCCCTTCTGTCCATGGGCCTGTTCTGATTTCGCTTTGCCAACGGCGGGAAATCAGCATTCCTGTTCCCCCCCTCTGTCCGCTCAGTCGCTCTCTTTACCGGTGTCGCCGGTACCTCCTCTCGGGTAACTAGGGCTTGTGCTCTCTCTCTCTTTCCACGCTGTCTCTTACTGAGACCCTGCTTACGAGCGAGCCCCTCGTCGTCCGTGTAGGACTCTGTGGTTTCCGAACGGAGAGAAGGTTTCTCGAGACGCTTAACTCTGTCCAAGATTTTGTGTGGGCCAGACTTTTCCTGGGTTTTGGCTTTCTTCTCTTTTGGCAGGTGTTCCTTAATAGCCCCCGCCACCGCCTGGCTAATTGCACCCGTGAGCCTTTCAAAGAAGTCATTCCCTATTGGAGGGTTCCTCAGTCCATAATTGGGAGATCCTCTTGGTCTTGCCGGCGTTCTGGGTAAATCCATCCCTACTCTATCTTCCATTGTTTGGGACATATCTGCCATCGGACTGAAATATTCCGCCGAAGGTCCGGGAGATCTGGATGTTCCCGCACCACCATCATTAGCGGTTTCACCAAACAATGGGGCCCCGCTGCGCAGATCTTCTATCTGTAGCTTCAGTTGCTGATTCTCCTCCTTTAGAGTTTTCATTTCTTTCTGCAGCTCAGCTATCTTAGCTCGCATGAACCCCGAATCGCCGTCCATTGACGCCCTCATGGCGAGAATCTTCATCGCTCCCGCGGCTGCCGCGATGCCCACCTTCATTTTGTGCGTAAATGAACCCTTGATGTTCTTCGATTTTCCTCTGCAACTTTCCACTTCGTTGAGCCACTCGTTAGCTCTAGCAGCCATATCAGTGGAGGACAACTCCTCAATCTGTTCTAATCGATCCTGCACCGCTTGCGTTTGTATATCCGTGAATCTACTGAATAAGGGTTCGTCCTCCTCATCCGCATCCTCAGGAGAGGATCTATGTTTTCTCTTTCTAGTGGATGCCCGCGACGAGTCGGAGCTCCTCCTAGACCTCGTGCCAGGCGTGTAGGAGACCAGCTCCACATCCTGGTTCCGCGATGTGCCCGGCCTAGACGACGGGCCACCTTCCGTTGTGGAGATATACTCCAACTCCGGGGAGTTCCCACTGGCAGGCTTATCTTTCTTCTTAGCCTTTTTCTCTTTTGGGGCTGGTCTTTCAAAGCCTTTGTCTTGCGAGTCCTCCATGCTGACGTCCGCATCAGTCGCAGACGTGTCTTTAGGCGTGGGTTTCCCTCTTCTCAATTTCATTACGTCAATATTGACGTGCTCCACCATCACGATCGCTGGTTTGAGCAGGGGGGTCGTGGTCCCCCCTGCCCCGCTCCCTTCGCACGTTGTCGACGCGGGGAGACAGGGACAAGCATCCCCCTCGCGCCGTTCCTCAGGTGTCCGAGTCCCCGAGGGTGGTTTATCTGTTTCCTGGCTTTCCATATTTGTTGATTAGGATCGACTTTTTGCCAAGAGCTTCTCTCTTGCCTCTTAGCTCGTGCCCGGTCTTCGGGGGTCACAGGCACGAGACGAAAAAAGATCTTGAATAACTCTTCTACCTCTTTTCCACCCGTTGCTCAAGGGACAACGCCGTACCCTGATCCTAGCGCTTTCAGGTCCACTTGATCTACCACACACCGCTCGCCCTAATAATACTCAAGGCGCCAGTCCGCCGCTGACTCATGCCCACCCCCAGAAACAGCGTGTACAATATGTAACACTGGGGGTCAAAGGTATGCTAAATTCAACACACAATTTCCACGAGGAAATTCCGCACACCCGGTATGATATTTCTCAGTTCACTATGGCGTATCAACTAATGTTAATGCGCCCCGAGCCGAAGCACTCACAAGGTCACTTTCGGATTTCGTCTCTATAGTTAATAACCTCGCAACTGTCCCAGTCCACTTCGACTAACGCCCCAGATCTCGCCAAACAAATTAAATTAGAACTCAGAATAACGCAACTTAACTGATTAACCTATATAACTCTTAACCTACTAATAACAATGATGGCAACTCTAACAACGCTAGCAATTTAAACTAATCTACACTTAAGATTAACTAATAATAATGATGACAACAAAATATAAAGTCGGCTTCAATCGATAACTCCTTTAATAATAATGATGATAACGCCGACTATAAAGTAAACCAATTATAACTATGCATTTCAACTTAGAACTCAAAAACTCAAACAGAATTATTTGCTATACATATATATACAATATACTACCCCAGTGGCTTTAAATATGAATAACCGTACTTGGAGGCATCAAAAGGCTACCATCTTTTCGGTTCGCACCACTAAGTTACCCACAGTTGCAATTAGTTTGCTCCGCTCTAATGTGCTATCCTCGTTCTTTAATACGAACTTATGAAAGTGTGACTTTATGTGCACTGCCAATCACTCATCTGCATGTGTGCTATCTATTCCTATTTGTTTATTTATTTACTTAAGTGATTTATCAGGCAATACCCATTCCGTCAAGTCACCGAGCACTCGATGGTCGCACCCCGTACTCGAGCATACACTATTCCCTTATTGTACGCATCATTCCATCCACGCGTGGATTATCCTTCCAAATTTCTATTTTATAACAAGATAGTGTATTTAGTTAATGCTTTAGTTCAGAATAACGAAACCAATAAGAATCCGCCCTTATATACGTCGCGCGTGTTGGGCGTAAGTCTCCGCGAATGCTCGACTCAACTCAGTTGACTCTCTGTGTTATCTCAATATTCGGGTTTCATGAGAATCCCGCCCGGAAGATTTCGCTCATCCCTCATGTACGTATACATATAGTTTATGCCCGTAAGAGCAGCTGATCTTTCAGACAATGCGCACTCGTTCTAACCATTGAGTGCTCCATGACTGTAATTCGCAGCATAAAGAGGTTACACGAAATGACATATCCGTCGCATGTGCAACGAATGCACTACCAAACCTGTCTCGGCGTCGGCAACTCCATCGACGCCACGGGCGGGCGAGTCTGGAGCCTACCTTGTACTCGCCCCCCGCAGATCTGCTTCCCGACGCAAGGAGGTAAAGGAACACAGATTTCGAGAACATATAGGCAAGACCGAGGGAGAACAACCCGACCGCTTTTATGGGTCAAGGGGCGTCACCCCGATATTGCAATACACTAAGACAATCCGACAACAAGAATACGTTCCGCACGCGCCGTCTCCAAGGTCCTCCGTTTGCATAACCTCAATTCAGGCGCCACACATGGGCGCCCTAACCCCACCTGTCAAACGGTGGGAGTGCACGCCGGCTCGCAAATCTTAGCGAGTATAGTTTTACTACGAATTTATTTTTCAGTGCAATAATCCCCTATATATTACTCGTTTTCTAATCCCACTTTGATATGAAGAGAGTACTAGTTTCCCCTATAGTGTAAAGATATCATATCCGCGGTTTACTTTTCAGTCTTTAATATTCGGGTTCGCGGCCTCCTTTCCGATGCATAAATTCAGAGCAGTTTTAATAACGGTATCTGATTCATGACAACTTTCAGCAATCCTATGGTAGTACATCCCATCCGAAGACACAAATTTACTCAACAGAGCATGCCAGCGAATCACCCCCTGTCTCCATTTGACACGAGTTGACAGTAATTAATTAATCAACTAATCTTCTGATATTATTTTCAGGCTGTACGGCGCACGCAGTAGCAGCGAAGCACATGCGCCCCCGCAGCGCAGCACTGTACCCCTGCAGACAGTTAACAGGTAAGGCACTTTATCACCTACTCAAGTGAGATATTATTAGATCGTGTCAATAAGTCATCCCTTATACTCATTTATCATAATAGAAAATAATCAATGCCCTCAATATTATTTCAGGCTGTACAGTGCGCACCAGCGCAGCACACCACACGCGCCCCCGCAGCGCAGCACTATATCCCTGCAGCTAAGTAACAAGTGACACTATTTATTTATTTATTACCCTCTCCATTGAGATATTACTATGTCACATCATCAAGTCATCCTCCATTCATTTGGCATAAGTTGATGGTAATTAATCCTTTAATGTTATTCCCAGGCTATACAGCGTGCATCGAAGCAGCACCACACATATGCCCCCACAACGCAGCACTGTACCCCGGCACCAATCAACAGGTAACGTTATTTATTATTTACCCTATTGAGGCCCTGTCAAGTCACACTATCAAGTCACACTCTACTTCCTTTTATCATGAGTAATAATAGTCAATACTTCTAATGTTATTTCCAGGCAACACAGTGCACACCGACGCGGTGACAGCGTATGTGCCCCCACGGTGAAATAAGAATTCCCAGCTGTCAATCAGTCTTATATTATTAATTATCACTAAACCACGCTGCGTACGCAGGTGCAGTGGTACCGTATACACAGTCGCTGTACATTATTTGTTTCTGCATGCGAATAAATAACCGTTTTGACTTTAATTAAAATAATAATAATGTCCAGTTAGTTTCCATCACTTATATTATGCCCGTAGACTAATATATTATCTCCGCAATCTATGAATTCTCTTATATAACTTCCATATCAGACTGATAGAGATAGCTAGCTAATTCTTTCCACTATGCTATACCTGATAAAGGAGTATGTCCCGCCCTTACACAGTATCAAAGACTAATTCAATCTTATTAACTCTACTCTATGTACAGCACTATGCATCCAGCCACCGTAGTGGTACAAGATAAAGCAATATATGTTCCTCGCAACCGTGCTTCCAGCAATTAAATATCACAGATTCCTTCATACACATAAGATACCGAGTCCCCAACACCCGGAGGTTCGCTCCAAGTTTAAATATTCTTGTTGTCAGATTTTATCAACATTTGTATATGGATAAGAGTGACAGAGTTACATCACGCACATACATCTCACACATAAGAAATATCGAATTTCGGTCATCCGCCGCGTCACTCCGCCAGCATCCGAGCATCCATCCTGGGCATCATAACCTCACCTGTCACCAGTGAAAGCACTTATAGGGCGGAGAGGTTATCTCGGGGCGCTGCCCCGTCCGCGTGAGCTATCGGGCACGCGATATATGACAGTAAAGCAAGAGCGTGAAGCGTAAAGCAGTTTCCGCAATTCGGTCAATATATTTATTTATGCGTGCATCTATCACTCAGGCATGATCCCAAGTTTATCGCGTATTCCTCCTCGGTATAATAACTCAATAGCCCATAATATTTCAACACTGCAGATCATCAATTAGCAAGTTTCTGATATATATATACTATTGTTATAAAGTCAGTAAGTCAACAATTCTAGTGTTATATTAATATGCTCCGCACTAGGAAAAGATTCGCATCGTTTTCCTCGCGAACGCGTCCGACTGCACATATATATGTGTTTCCCGCAACAAGATCCACGTATGCGGCACAGGGTCGCCCTAATTATTTCGCGAGAGTGCACGGCACAGTGGACAAACACAATCTATCAGGCTCGTACACGTGCTGCATCACTCCGCTCCGACACCTCCGCTCATCAGCTGACAGTCCATCAATTCTGTATGTTGTGCACGGATGCAGGCTCTGGTGCAATAGCCGCATTCACCGTGCAGACGCGCACAAAGTCAATGTTTATATCTTTAAATCAGTCACACATTGCCAGATTCTGTTTCTTAATTATCCCTGTGCTCCGTTATTAATTTCCACAATCAAAGAGAAATCGCGTCAGACTCGATCGTGTTACTACTTGTGCGCCCAGCGCGTGGGCGCCTCTTCCACTCCCGCGTATATACAGTGTGCACTTTAGAGATAAATGTCAAAGTTAATATACCAGAGTATAACTCTGTTTAGGATATCTCTGTACGAGTCACTCTACATGTCATTTAAGACAATGCTATCAGAACGTCAGTCTTTCTGCCAAAAGCCGCACGAGGCTCTCACCTCCCTGGCAACGGTGTACCTGCAACTCCTACCTTATTACCAATGCCCGGCCGATGCAGCGGGTGCAGAACGCGTGCGGGCAGGAGTTAAAGAGCGCTGGACCCCAAGGACGTCCACGCTGGCTGCAATAGCAAGGGGAGACCGCGGGTCCCAAGAGCCCGCCAGGCACTCCGCAAGGGCAGCGAGGACCCTCCGGAAGAACGGAGGGACAGCTGACCAGCCGCCACCGGCCCACAGCACTGCACCTAGTTAATTACGCATGCAATCGAGCAGTGACAATCAGAAAGTCGCATGCGAAGCGTCACTATAAGCCACTGCAAGCACAAATCGCCGCCATCACGGCCATAGCAGTCATGCACATGCAAGCGCGGCGCGCGCCGCCACGCGTTCACTTTCGTGCAACTCCACTAGGCATGCCACTCCGCACACCATGTGCACCAAGTGCAATTACTCCGCACTGACCACTGTCCAGCACAGGTGCATACCCCGATGGCCACTCCCCGAGCACGTGGCGCAACCGCCACGGAGCACAAAGAAGCGAGATCGCGCACCTCGTCAAAGCGCGTTCACATGGGCCCGCGCATAAGGCGCAAACACGTACACTCCCGGGCGCAGGATACGATCCCAGCACAGTTTAGACTCTTATATAGAGTAAATGTCAATCGGTTCCAGATTGCGTAACAATATTCAATCCCGAATTACACGTTTCGCGTTATACACACGTAACGGTAGCATACGTATCAAGTTCACTTACACTATCGGTGTATTCCCGCGCTCTCGTTGTACACGTCAGCTATTGACGCACCGATCGGCCTGCACATAAGTCTGGCTATTATTTCAAAGCGAAACCGGAAAATCACAGATCGCGATATTCGGTCATCACTAAACAGTGCACTGAGGCGCACTATGTACTTGAGACCTAAGAAGGGTCTCCAAAAAAGGAGCTGTTTTCGACGTTACCGTGGCATGTCAGGCGCAGCGAAGCCAGCCATCTTGGGCCGGAGCCACGAGCCACGTTTCACGGCACTGGAAAATCGTCTATTTCTTCCAGAGAAATACACTCCCGCACACGAAACTTTGCGAATCAATACAAAATCGCAATCCGCATACACTGGCCGCACTTTGAAGACGCTACGCGCGTTATTCCCACACGGTCGCATGCAGAGACGACGGAGCGGCACAGAGACACGTCCGTACGCCTCGATACACACGAGAGACCCCCTTATAACTCTAACCTAACCTAACCTTGCAACCGTTGGCTTTCCAGCTATCGCCCGCAACGGTCGCGCATCCGGCCACAATTCCTGCTGCCGACGAGCCGAATTTTCAGTTAGATATCGCAAACGCGATGTTGGGCCAGGCTCGTAACAACATAATGGGGATAGCGGCGAACGAGGAAGTTCCAGCCACAGGAAGAGTGTTGGTGAGA